CGACATGCTCAGATCACAGGAAATGATTTCATAATGTTTTTGTCATCACTCAATACAGAGATTAAATGGTTTTTCAAGCACTTTGTGAATTTTTTGGGTTGAGAGAAAATAATGTATGGAAAAGCAAACTCCAAGTTGAAGACTGAGACATAATTTTCTATCTGGGCAAGGATAAGAGGATGAAGATCTTGGGAATTGTGCCAACAGAATGCTAAAAGTAACAGATGGATGCCTTTTCCAGAAGGGAACTGATGTAGAAGAAAGGTGGTGATTGTTTTTGGTGGTCAGTACTGAGTGGTTCGAGCATTGCAAAGTGCGAGAAATAGGTATTGAAAGACTCAGCTGATTTGACAATGAGAAGTGACGTGCGCAACCCACTGTTAGCGAAGAATGATTGTGCGCAGGTCCAATTGCCTTTCCCAATTCCCGTTTGGAACGTGGAACAAAGATTCCCACCCTAACTTCTCACATTGAATAATGCCACTCAGAAGCTCCAAGAAAGCTATAAGTCATATGTCAAGACTCCAAGAAAAGAAGTTTGCTCATCCTAAAATCTACTCTCTCTTACGTTCTCATCTACTTCCTACCCTATTTGCAATACCTACTAGTGTGACAAAGAGACTTGCATTGCTTTTTTATTTGGGAAGTAGCTTGGGGAGGATTCTTGCATTGGAAACCCAGCTACAAGAGGGTCTTAATTTTGGTCAAAAGATATATTTAAAAAAAAAACCTTATAGCCATTTTGCACAGCAAGTAGTCAACTTCTTCTATTTTTCATGGACGGGGGTGGCACCTTCTTTTGCTTGTTTGTAATAGTATTTTTTCACTATCGAAGTTTATCATCAAGAAGAAAACCCAATTTCTAAAAGCTCATGTTGCTTGATTGATATCCACAACATATATACATACAGACAACAACTGAAAATTTCTTGGCAAGAAAAGATTTCCAGAAATAAGTACATCATGGCAATCAAGTGAAATTCTTTGCAGGCATAGATGTCCATCAGTAAATACCTCATGGCCATCGTGACAAGACAAGCAGCAAGCAGTGCAAACTCCAGCATTCCCCTCTGGTGTGCATGTCAAGCATGAGAAAATTGCTTGCCTCTTCATATAGCCCTTAGCATAGGTACACTCATCACCCTCATCTCCGCCCAAAACCAAATCAGCTTCCTTTAAAGCAAAAAAAAATCAAATATTGACAAAAAGGATCTAATCAACTTACAACAACATCAAGAAACATATCAATGCAAGTGATACTTCCATCATTCTTTTATATTATTTTTAAAACTAAAAATTAGATATGCACTACAACATGAATACAAACAGTCCGCAAGATAGATGAGAAAAGGGTCAAAAAGAGATGTTAAAGGCTGAGAAGGATGTCCATTGGCTATGATACTTCGATAGAAAAAGCTATTTGATGAGGTTCCTGAATATACTAGTTCAGTGCCAATACATGATGGGGAAAAGTACCTAGATAATAAGTCCGCGTTAGCTTCATTTCTCATTTAAATCTCAATCAATTCCTAGCTTTAATTTTCACATTCTTCTTAATATGCATAATAAGAACATAACTTGTTATAATTGAATTACCAAAAACCCATTTTGATTCTTTAATGGTGAAATTCAATTCGCACCCTAAAACTAGAAATTGAATTATCACTACCAAGGAATTCGAATTCAAAATAGCGGAACTCAAACACAATGAACGACATTCTAATTACGTATATTATGATAAATATGGCAATTAGAAATAGGAATTCAATAGGAAATGAAAAACATGCAACACCCTAATTTTCCTAAACAAATTCCAAAATCAGCATAAAATTGTTTGCAATTCAAATCTAAAAAATTTTCATATTCAGAAACCTAAAGAAACAAAAACCTCAATTCAACCATGAAAAAGATCGATCCTCGATCTATCTAAAAAGTGCCTTCTCGCTTAAACACGAAACTCATCACAGATATACTTAACTACGCATCAATATCTCGTCTTTCCTCTCTTCAACCAGTTACAAAGTAAAAAAAAACAACAATAATGTGCAACTCATGACATGCCACTAACCCTTGATGCTGTAAAGAAAATCACTAAAAGAACAAAACCCTAAAATTTCGATAATAAGAAGGAATTTTTACTAGCTCCTCGTCTTCCATATTTTGGATGTACTCGTTAATTGACACAGTCTCCTCAGCTTCCTCCTCGAACCCGCCACCAGACATTTTGATCAAAATAGATGGAACCAATAACAATCTCCGGATCGGACCTTCACCGCCTGAAACTTAAAAGAACTAGAATCAAAATATCAGTGAAAGCTGACTTAGTAATAACTTATATATAATGATCTGGGCAATCCCTAAGCCGGTAAACCCTAAAATGTCCGATAAACCCAAAAAAAAAAAAAAATCTGGAAGAAAAGTACCTGAAATGGAAACTAAAAAACTTTAAAAAAAGATTGGCTAGATTGTTATTCGGATTGATGGATATGGGGAAGGAGAGAAAATATGGACTGGTATTATGGGTTAGATTTTATACGAAGGGTGGATGCAAGGACATTAAGGATAGTACAGACATTTTCCCGCCAATGAGCTAAGTCTGTGCTTCTTTAATCCTTTCCCTCCAAATGTTGATTTTTTAATGTCTTATACACCTAGTATTGATTTTCATTTTTCTTTATTTATTTTTATTATGTGTTTTTCATATTTTCAATTCTTTTAAATAAGTGTTTTTCATATATTTATTGATTTCCATAAGCATTTCTTGTCAAAATTAGGGATAATGAATGGTGATTTACTCGATAATTTTTTTTCTACTCACTTTTTCATAAACGAAACTGATAACTAATAAAAAATATGAGATAAGTCTGCATAAAAAGAAAATCCGTTATGAATATGAATCGAGCGCGAATAATACATATATTCGTCATGTTGATTTACATTAGTATTTTTTGTCAAAATTGGGGATGATCGACGGTGATTTGACCGCTAACTTTTTTTTATTTACTCTTTCATAAACGGAATAAATAATTGATAAGAAATATGAGGTAGGTATATATAAAAAAAAAAAGTTCGTTATGCTTATACTCGTTATGTACTTTAAATGACATCGTTCTAAAATTATATTTAAAATATTATATTAAATAATGTAAGTAATTAAATTTTATTAAATTATATTGATGAGTAACATATTATATAAATATTAATTTATATTATTTTGTTAATTACTAATTTAGATATTGTTAAATTATATAAACTAATACTTTTGAAATATAAGGAGTGGGTAAATAATGGATATAGGAAACTACCATAGAAGTGAGGATGGAGTAATAAATTTAAAGCTGTTTTGGATGTGGGTAATCTCACCCTACAGTCATCACTAATCAAAACCTATTATACCATCCAGAAGTCATGCTGAACAATTAAATTTTGTGTTTTTCTTAATGGTAATTATAGATTTTATCTATCATAATTTGACTTGAGTTCATTGAATGGCAATAGAAATTTGGTAGGCTACTGGGTGGGTAACAAAATCTATAGTAAGTTTAATAAAATTACTATATTTAAATTATTGATTCATGCTTACATAGCTAAAAGTAAAATTTTATCTATAATCATTGCTCCTCCAGCTTCTTCTCAAGAACTACAATTCCTGAACATGGTTATTAAGCTTGAACAAAATTCATCTAGCACTTGGAGAAATGTCAAATTTAAGTTCACTTGACATGAAGTTGACTCAGAAATATCAAAATAGTAAAGATAAAGAAGACAATATCTCTGCTTTTTTTACTCTTACAGAAACTGTTCAGTCGTGAACCTAAGTATGATCGACCATCGGTCGAGGTGCCCATGTCTAGGTGAAATATCACATTGTTAAAGACCTTCAACCTCTTGGTTGGATTCGATATATTTTTAGGTTCATTCTCTATGTTGGTGGGTGGCTTAGTGTAATCTTTTGCAAAATGCAGCATAACATCAAACACATCATGGATTATTCTCTTCTTGTTGTCTTTTTGTTAAGACCATGAAAAAATTGGTGTTTCCTCCGCTTAGAGTGGTGGTTTGAACCCTTTGACACGATGTAAGAGACAAATTGCACCTGCATATCACCCACAACAGCTTACCCACATAAATCTTTCACACAAATCGGTCTGTAAATTGATCACACACCAAGACAAGAAACAGGCTCATCCATAAAGGTGATAAGTCACAGAACTAAAAACCTGAGAATTGTTGCGGATGCCAAATTCCTCAAGTGAGGCATTGTCATCAAGGAGTTTCTCATTGTGGTGTGAAAGGCAAAAATTTTCCCAGACATGTTTCCTGCAAACCCAGAAAAGTCATGCTGGTGATTTTCAAAGCTTGTTAGACCCTCTCTTGTATGGAGTACAAACAGTTGTTGACAAGTACCAAGAAATGTGGCGATGACCCAAATTTGCCTGCTCCATCTCGTTAATTTTCCTCTTGATCGTGAGTTTCAAGTCCTTGACAGTAGCAGAATTCATGACCACCACATCTTGATCACAAATAAGACGAGTCAAGAATTTTCTATTGGCATATAAGCTGTTTAAAAAATTGTCTAAAAGGAAAAGATAAAAAGAGGATGTATATATTGTGTACCCAAGGAAGAGCCATCTAATTTAAGGATGGAGATGCGCATGGCACTGCCTAGCTCCAGGCTGATGAGGGTGTCAACGTCTGCTAATGTTGGCTTCTTCGGGACATCAGCAAGTATTGGATCCTCAAGGAGTGTGGTTAGTGTTGATTGTAGCCTTGCCTTTTTAAAATTATCGCTGTTGTAATCACCCAACACTTGTTCACCCTTTTGACTTGGTTCTGCCATTTTAGCCAATCACTACTCTCCCTCTTTCTCGTGTTTTCTCTTAAGGTCCTGTCTTGATTAAATAAGGAAAAGAGATTTCACAGTATTACAAACTAGCCGGAAAGCAAGAAGCAGATAGAAAAGGCTGCATTTATTATTCATTCCTTATGAGCCCTGTGCATTTCTCTCTTGGTCGTGACTTAATTCAAAGAGAGGATCAAAAGAATAGCTTCTTTTACTTTCCCTGTTTTGCTTTTTAGTGCAGCATTAACTACTTTTCTCGTTCTATATTCTCTCTGTTAGCTCTAAATTCCCTCATGAATATAAAGACATTATAGCAGAAATACAAACCGAAACTTGATATAGCAGTCATTTGTCTCAAAGACCATGTACAGCAGTCATTTTTTTAAAATAAGTGCGAAAGTATATTGTTATAGGCATCAAGAGAGTGCCGCCCATGGATAAAAAATTTACATGTCAATCAAGTTATCCACAAGGTTCATCATTCCAGCATAGAACAAAGAGGATGACCCAGTAACAAAAGACCAAGGGTCTAGAACCCCGTATTAAAAAGAGGATGACCCAGCCCATGTACAGCAGTCTCTTCTTCAAACACTTGATGGGCAATAAAATGCATAAGTTACTTCCGATTGTTCACAGGAAAAAAAAACTCAGAAATTTGCTCTTCTGGGATTTCTAATTAAAAGAATTAAGAGAAAAACATAAAGCTGGAAAATTTTCAGAACTCCCATCTGAAAAAGAAAATAACCCACAATGAAAGGGAAGCAAGAAAGTTTCACCGTGGAGGAGAACTAGAAAAGAAAGGAGGAATGTCCCATCTGGGAGAGTAAGACAGAAGTGAGATTAAAGATATCCATGAACTCACATTAAAAAAAAAAAAAAAAAGGAATGGACTTTCCAAAGTTCCAAAGAAGCAGCCGATTCAGGAATGAGTTTGACCAAGCCCTGACAAACAAAGAATCAATCAGCTCTCTCCTTCACCTCTCTCTCAATCCATGGGGAAATATATTAATAACATTCAAAGTTTAGCAAAGTACATAAAAGATATAAAAAAGATTTAGATGTTTCCACAACTGAATTTAACAAGAAGATCAAAATCAAATCGAGTATTATCTTTACGCATTTTGTCAAACACATGGTGTGCATCCAGCTTGCACCCCATCAGTCAGCAAAATGCTCATTTTTTTCCAATGAAAGTGATTAAAGATTTTAAAAGAAAAAAAAAAGTAAACCCAGTCCCTAACTTCGCACCATTGCCACTCAAACCAAACCCAAACAAGCTACTATGATTTAATCAACTAAACTGAATTTCATCATTTATATGTATCAACCAAATTGCAAAAGAAAAAATCACAGAATCATAATTTGAAAGAAAAAAAAAAAGGTAAAGGAAGAGTCTTACCGTGCAGCAACTTTGGCTGCTGGGTCGCGGGGGATGCAACTGGTCTCCCAAGTAGCAGCCTTTTGTCGCGACTGAGAATAGGATTCAGTGATTGGGAGAGACGAAGTGAGGAGGCATCGATGGCGGTAAGAAACAGAACAGACAAGACAGGTTCTACGAAGAGGGACACGCTGGGAGAGAGGAAGCCAGCAGCGCCACCGAGTCAGTGACTCAGTAGAGAGTCGGACCAGAAAACAGGGCGGAGACTGAAATTTCTGACCGAATAATTTTCGGGTGAGCATTCTCCGGTCTAAATAAAACAATCGAACCGGACTAGGTAACAATTCGTTTTAGCCTGGACCGGATAATCTTCAGTCTATATTATCCGGTTTGGTCTATTCTTTAGTTTAGAAATTTCTGAACTGAAATTTTTAGTTCAGATTAATTTATTTATTTAAAAACTAACATCTAAAAAATATCAAATATATAAATAACATATATTACATACATTATAAAATAAAATATATAAATATTAAGTATCACTACAAGAAGACCATTTTTTTTGTAAAAAAATTCTTAAGATTAAATATTTAATCTCCTAAAAAAATTTCAGTCAAATTAAATTGCTCATAAAAAATTAAATATTTAATTTTAAAATTTAATAACTAATTTAAAAATTAAAGACCAAATATATAATTATATATATATAAATATCTATAAATAAAAATAAAAAAATATATTTTTATTGGGAAATAACGCCCAGGGCAAGTTTCCCGCGGAATCCCTAAACCGAATATCCTGAAACCAAAGAGTTGACATCGTCGACAAATTGTTTTATTCCTCTTTGAACTCACCGAGTGGGACCCACATCTCATTATCCATAAACAACTTCTAAAGTTCCTTCCTTTATTTTCTAAAAATTATTTCTTTTGAGTTTTGCTTTCCTGGGGGGATTGAAAATCTGAAATAATTTTCTTCGCCAGGAAAATCCGAAAAACCAAAAGAAAATTTAAAAATTCCCCAGTTTTAGTCAAATCTCTTGTACCCCGTGCCTTGTCTGCTTGTACCTCGGCTCGTCATTGTCAATGAACTAATCAAAACAGTGAAAGATTTTCTTTTTCTCTGTTTCTTTTTCCGATAATTTTGAGATTTTGGTTCCTTTCTGGGAAAGCCAAGTATAAAAAAGTCCTCTGTTTGTGAAAGTGTAAATCGTACCTGAATCTTTCTTGCTTTTCCCTCTGTGTTCCCGTTTAGAAGATTTGATGGAGCGTGACGGGTGGGACAATGGGAGGGTGACGTGCGGCTCGTGGATCCGGAGACCCGAGAATGTCAATCTGGTCGTTCTGGGAAAAGCGGGGAAATCCGGTTCTTCCCCTTCCGTCATCGAAATCTTCTCCTTTGATCCCGTCACGACTTCCCTCTCTTCCTCTCCTCTGGTATCTCTCCGTCTCACTTTTGTTTCTTTTCCTCTTTCTGGAAAATGGGCGTTTCCAAATTTGTGAAAATGATGGAATTTACTAAAAAAATGGAGGTTTTATTTCTTTTTATTGCTTGTAGCGATGAGGGCATTTTTGGATACATCTCCTTTTTATATTCAAGAAAAGCAAGAAACTGTTTCTTTCCGTCTTTATACGAAAGAAATGCAAAAGGTGTGTTTTAAAACGGATAAAAAGTTTTTTTTTTCCTTTTGTCCTTGTACTTTTAAATGAGTTTCAGGTTTTCAATTCTTCAATAGCAAGAATATTGTGCTTCTTGGTTTTTTATTGCTTTTTGGTTATTAAATTTTCAGGTTTTGAAGTAAATGTCTTTAGATTTTGATTATTAAATGCAGTATTTTAGGTTGTATTATAGTTAATTTGAGGGGTTATATATATTTTTTTCTGGCTTGATATTTTGTTTTAGGCTACCCATGTGCTTGAGCATATCGATGGTGAGCCAATAACCATTGCAGTGCACCCTAGTGGAGATGAATTTGTGTGCTCTACCACCAACGGTGGCTGCAAGTGAGTTTCTCTGTTAAATTTGTATCAGGGTATTGGAAGGTTGTTGTGCTGGGACAAGTTTATTCTTGAAAGAGGAACTGAGCCTATGAAACTCACCTAATTGAGTTCTTATTTATTTTCCTGTATAGTTGAATACTAAAATTTTCCTAACTGTTAAATTGGTGTCTTCGTTATTACTATAGAATCGTGATAGATAATTTTACGACTTTCAGAATTCAGACAAACTAATACAATATGTCTCTCCCCTACCATGTAATCTAAATTTTTGTATTACCAGTGAGTCCTGTGAAGCTATTTCATGTTGAAAGTTATTTTGGTTAACGTTTAAAGAACACTGGGACAATGCCTCAGCAACACATTGCTGTAATAAGTGGTCTTGTCGGTTTGTTCACCTTACCTTTTGCTTGTTATGTTTGGAGAGCTATGCCTGAAACTTTGTTGGTTAGGTTTTCGAGTTCATTGGTGCATGTGGGAGATCTCAAGTTAGTTGGATCATTCTCTACTGATGGACAGCAGACTTGAAGTGTCACGAAATTTCTTACCTCAGCCCTCTCATTCTAATAATTCTTTTTCCTACTTCTTTAGAGAGAAAGATCATGATCCTATCTACTCTCTGCTGTCTCTAGACTATGATTAAATGGATTTGGTCTCACTTTTACAGTGAAAACAAGTATCTTTTCCACTTCGACTGTTAGATATTTTGATAATGAAATTATAGATACACTTGTTTTAGTATACGGGAAATCCTTCCAATATCTTTTTGTATTTATTTATTATAATCTAGATCTAATTAGTTGCCTCCCAAGTTAACATCCCAATGAACTCTGTGGTTCAGGCTAGCTAGTACTTTGCCTTATAGTTTCTTTTTTTTTTAAGGTTATTTGAGCTGTATGGTCGAGAAACACATTTAAAGTTGTTGGCTAAGGAACTACCTCCTCTCCAGGATGTCGGTCAACAAAAATGTTTAGCCTTCAGTGTAGATGGATCGAAATTTGCAACTGGTGGAGTGGTAAGCAATAACTTGTGATCTTAAGTTATGTTTTCTAACTTTAACTTGTCTGTATATGTATATGGTTAAGACCCATCTCTTTTTATCAATTTTAGGATGGGAATCTCAGGATTTTTGGGTGGCCAAGCCTGCAAATCATTTTACATGAGCCTCAAGCACATAAATCCGTGAGAGATATGGATTTTAGGTCAGAATAAAACTATTTTTTTTGTATTCAACTCCTTGTAATTGAGCAAGGGAAGGTTTTTTCTGCCATTATCAAATCAAGATTTTGAAGTAAAAATGTCAAATTAAGTGTCTTATAAAAGAATGACAAAAGTTATGGATCTTATTTATAGTAGTCCTTTGGAAGAATTTGCCTAAAGAATGAATAGAAAAATAAAAAATTTTGAGTAAGGAAATCTTGATTGACAAAAAATCCAGTGTTATAATTGAAAGTTTAAACAAGTTCTTGTATGTTATCTCAGCTCGATACTGAATTTTTTGGCCTTCTTTTATCTGTCCTATTGTAGCCTAGATTCCGAGTTCTTAGCTTCAACATCTACTGATGGTTCAGCAAGAATTTGGAAGACAGAAGATGGTGTTCCTCTGACAACTTTGGCTCGCAATTCGGTACTGTATATTTAAGGGGAAAATATACTTTAGAATGACTTATATATCCCCACCTTTTACTAGCTGCACTTTCATTTGTAGATACACACTTCGCTCCGATGAACTTTACTTTTTCTATTTGCTAGTAGGAGAAGTGGTCTGTTATTTTTTAAATTTAGAACAAAAAGCTACACTAACAAACGTAATACTGATTCGAAGGTTACAGTACTTATTTGAAATTTTGGTTGGAAAAAAATAATCTATTGTCATTTTTTTTTTCTGAGAAAATTCTATCATAAAATTTTCTCTTTTCAAGAGTTGAAACTTATGTTAGAATAATGTTATGGAGTATCATGCATATCTCAAGTGGTCATAATGCCACTTTGGAATTCGCAGGTGGCAGTTGAAACGAGGATTATGTCAATTATCTATTGGATATTTTAGCCTTAAGAGTTGCCAAACAATTTGTGCTGTTTCAATAATTTTTTTCGTAATTGTGCCTGATTGTTCTTCTTCCAGGATGAAAAGATCGAATTGTGTTGCTTTTCAATGGATGGAACAAAGCCATTTTTGTTTTGTAGCATTCAAAGAGGTAGACTTGTTTATCATTTGAAGGCAAATAAATTGGATCATTACATCTTATAATTCGCTATGGAACTTATCGATATCAATGGGAGCAGGTGATAAATCTGTAACTGCGGTTTATGACATTAGCACATGGAACAAAATTGGGCACAAGAGGTTGCTCGGAAAGCCTGCTTCCACAATGTCCATCAGCCTGGATGGAAAGTATCTTGCTCTGTAAGCACATGGCATTGCTCTTTCTTTTCTTTTTTTTTTTTGAAATAAACAATATTGTTAACAAAGGCACCAAGGAGGTGTCAATCCGCATACAAGATATTTAGATATCAATTAGTAAATCAATAAGCTTCCCTAAATCCTCCACCGAGTACAAAACATGATCCAATAACAAAAATTCAAAGGTTCAGAACCATTTATTCTTAATTAAGTCAAAACTATTCTCCTCTTCCACCCCTTCAAAAACTCTTACATCCCTAACTTGGTATTGGCTCTCTGGAATTTGTTGTTATTGATTTGGCTACAGTTGAGTGAAGTAATAATTTTTTTCCGGTCTGTAATACTCTCTCTGATATCTAACACCATTCATAAATACTGTTGTTACAATTTCCTTTTCTGTAATTATAATAATATTATTATATAAGTTATGAGATAATCTCACACTTCACCTACTAATTGATATACGCTGACTTACCAAAGACATTATTGAGTGCATTGTAGCGTATGTCCATGGTTTTTGCTACTCACTCGGTCAAACTCAATATACGAGAAAAAAAGT